GATGGCACCTTATCAAGCTTTGTATGGACAGAAGTGTCGTACGCCATCTTGTTGGCTTGAGGCTGGGGAAAAGCAGTTTATGGGGCTGGAGATAGTCCATCAAACTGCTGAAAAGTTGAAAATAATTAGGGAGAGAATGTTAGCAGCTCAGGATCGTCAAAAGAGTTATGCTGACAAAAAGCGAAGACCGATGACTTTTGAAGTTGGAGATTTGGTTTTGCTTAAAGTCTCGCCGTGGAAGGGACTTATAAGATTTGGAAAAAGGGGAAAGTTAAGTCCAAGGTTTATTGGACCGTTTAAAGTTCTTCAGAGGATTGGGAACCAAGCTTACAAGCTCGAACTACCAGAAGAACTGAATAGAATTCATAACACTTTCCATGTGTGTTATTTGAGGAAGTTCACGGGAGAAGTTCCCGACATAATTCCACTTTCAGAGTTGAGGATCGATGAGAACAAAAGGTTGATTGAGGAACCGGAGGCAATTGTTGACCGAAAGACTAAGAAATTGTGACGTAAGATGGTGGAGTTAGTGCTTGTCCGATTGAAACACACAAATGGGCCAAATCTCACCTGGGAGACGGAGAGTGACATGATGAGTCGCTATCCGCATTTGTTTGCTGGTGTGTGATTCCGGGGACGGAATCATTCTAAGGTGGAGAGAATTGTAACGCCCGTGTTTCTGGGCTTGCCATTTTTAGCAATGTAATAGTCTAAGTTAACCTTGTAACTCAACTTAAAATAATAAGAATGTATTATTTGTGAATTATGTGAATTATGTGATTTATGTGTGTATTTTCTTAATTTTTATAATTTAATGAATTAAGAATAAAATAAGCGTCAAAATTAAAGTGTGAGATAAGCCCGACATCTTTGCATAAACTTTTAGTGGTCGAAACAAGGATTCCGGAGATATAAGGAATGCCAAAATCCGAGTTATAACGAAGAAGTTATGACCTGTCGAAATTTTGCGACAGAACCGACACGATGCCGACTGACGTAAAAATATGAATTTAAGATAGAGCGATATTTAGCCTTAGCGATCTAAATGAAAGTCGTAGATTTCGTTAAACCGAGAGCGTGCATAAAAGGAACGCCCAAATCTGACTTCGTATGAGGAAGTTATGATTTTCTGAAGTTTCGACTTAGCAGTATGCAGCCCGAATACTCGATTTGAGATCGAGCGGTTTTTAGCCGAAACAATCTAAATTAGAATCGAAGATCTTGTTGTTAGTAGCGAAACAATGAACGTCAGACGAAGAAGTTATGAATTTATAACGAAGTTTTTCTATCCCGGCCTTCTAAAAATAAATAATAAAAATAAAATTCAAAATTAGCCGACGGAGTCTAAATGAAAGTTGTAGAGTATGGTCTGACCTTCGCGTGGATATAAAGAACGTCGAAAACGGAGCTCGTATGTGAAAGTTACGCAATTTAGAAGTTCGACGAGTCAATTACGCACAGCTTAATTTGAGTACGCCCAGCGTACTCAGTCGGATGCAACTTGTCTGACCAACACTCGAGTGCCACCAGTCGACGCACGCAGTGAGGTCAAAGTACGCCCCGCGTAACGCGAGTACGCCCCGCGTACTGAGTACGCCCTGCATAATCCCAGACCCAGCAGCCTATAAATAGAACTCGAATTCAGCCATTTTCTCTTGTTCAAACTCTTCCCTCTCTCTAAGTTTTGCCTCGTTTTGTGTGCCGTTTATACCCCAAAGCCCTAGTAATATTCCCAAGCCCCGAAGCAAGATCCGAAGCCCCGAGGATCCTGAAGAGCGTTATTCCCGAGCCGAAACGCTGCCCGCGAGGAGCCCGGTTTTGTGAAGATCTTCCAGATCTACGGAGAAACACCTCTTCTGCAAGCCGTAGTGCTGCCCGATCATCTTCTGATCAAGTGAGTGTGTAGTTATTTTCATTCCAACGCAATATTATGAAGTATTTCCTATAAAATACATGTTATGTGTATATATTTGGTTGTTATACGTGTGAGTGTATATTCACTCTCTTCTATCTTATAGATCTGATGTATTCTCTATGAAATACGTGTTATGTGTGTATGCCTCATCTGTTATGTGGAATATGTATTGCTTAAAGCATGTTATACAGGTTTTTAAACAATGTATAAAAATGTATATTTTTATCTACTAATATGTTGGGTAGAACATGGGTAGGTAATTGGTGTGTAATAAACAGATGAGAGGCCTCGGTGTTATTGGTGTTATTCTAGTCATTCAGCAGAGTATGGATGACGACCACGGACTATTCTAGACTGTCCTGTGGAACACTAGCAGGCTCATTACCTATAGGTGTTGTGAACGACGTGTTCACCGGTGTACTCTATCCCCCACATGGTTGCCTTTAGGACACTTAATGTTGAGGAAGCCCCTCTGCAGTAATGTCCATCCCGATGAAAAATCCTGAAATAGGTTCCTTAATGATCTGTATCGGAACATGACATCCCGACTTTTGATTGTGAAATGAAATCATATTTCTTTATGAAATGTTCTGATAAATATCTATTTTATCATGTTTTGTTTTTGGGAATAAATTCCGCATCTCTTTTAAAATTAAAAGGATTTACTATGAAAATTATTTTAAAAAGCATAAATGAAATCGGTCTTTTCTGGCCGAGATTTTGGGGTTGTCACAGGTACACTGCGCGTGCGTGCATGGAATCTGTGTCCTTATCTCTTGAGTACGCTAAGTGTACGTTGCATGGTATGTCCCACGTACGACACTTCCTCAATCCAATCACAAGGGCCCAATGGTTTAAGTCCAAACCAATTTAATTCATTAACCTTATATGAATATAAATAATACCTTATAGGTGTTGGAAGTTACAAGATGGAACAAATAAATCCAGTTGTATGGGTTAAGACACGATAAGTCTGCTAGTGTAAATTCAAAAATTGAACTCCCAATGCCTAGAGCAGCTTTGAAATGAACATTAATGAAACTCTCAGTTTCAATCAAGCCAAAAACTTTCACAGTTGTTATCTTCTTTGAACTTCAGGTTTGATGTCGAGGCTTCCAATGCTTGAGATAAAACGAGAAAATCACTTGATTAACATCATTGTATGAAAGTGGAGCTTTTTCGATCTTTTGAAACTACTAAACAGGAACGCCTTCAAAGTTATTGGAAGGTCAAGTTGAGAATCCGAAGTGTTCTCCAACTTAAACGAAACAATTGGCTCCAACCAGTAAACACTTGGTTTATTGATAGCTTCATTCATAATTCACTCCATAGACCAGGGAGGAAAGATAGACTTTTGGGTTTCCAGAGTAACTTGGGCATCACGAGCCTCTCCTTCAACTGCTTCATCTTCTTTGGCAATTCGCAGATTTTCATCAAGCTCTTTATCACGAGACTTTCATTTGAGTTGAACCTCTTCCGATAAGTCTTCTTCATCAACACCATCATCAATCATCTTGCTTTTTCTTTCGATCCTGAAGCTTCATTACCCTTTGGATCGTTTGGATACGGGTTTTATTCATGCTCACCTTAACCACCAGCTGGTTTATTGACTTTTCCCCTTGTTTCTGAAGAGAATCGGACTCTGAAACACCTTTTATACGATTTAGTATTGAAAAGCCAGGTTTTAAGTTTGTCAGCTAGATGTTGGCAAACGGAGATCGTGAGTAAATAATCACTAGTCTCGATGAGATTTAGCAAAAATTGATTCACATATCTGACACAACTTTTTAGCACAGCCTTTTAGAACTTGAGCTCATCCATATGCTGTTTCGCATGCGATAGTTGCATAGAAAGAACTTTTACCTTCTTGGTATTTACCACGAGTTTATCCAAAAGTGAATTCTCAGTAACAAGGTCCTCTTGAAGCTTATCAAGCCTGGAAGTTATAGATGTTTGCAGCTCAACATTATCAGCCTGAATGTCAGTGCGAATCTTTGAAAGAGCAGCTTTCTCGGTTTGAAGAGTCATGCCAAGACTCGTAATGACCTTCTTCGCAGCTTTAGTATTTTTTTTTTTTGAGGAACTATGAAAGTCCACGGTAAACACAGTCACATCATTCACTAGTTTTTCTACTTTTTCGATCGCCTCGCGAACAGTCTTTTATGAATTTTCGATAGCTTTAGTAGAAGCAACGAGACTTTTGGCACCCTCCTTGGTGAAAGTATCGACTAATTCTTTGATAGACTCGTATGAGTATTCAGAGATTTATGAAGTTTTGGAAGACTCAAGTAGAGTATCCAACTTTTCATTGAGGGATTTGAATTGTCCCTTCGTCATAAGTGCATCTTGGTCATCACTTGATTGTTGAACACTGAAATGACTGAAGTGGAAGTCTTGGAAATCATCTCGATCATCACCAAACACAGTATCAGGTTCATCATGGCATATTGTTGAGATTGGAGTGATGTAAGGACCAACAGTGACACCAGAAGCACCTGCCCCCGTATCAGCTACATTGATAGATATTGGCGATGTACTAGTGGTGGTTGTGGTTGTTCTTGTAGAATCGATATAGAGTGGGGTTGATTGAACAATGGATATTTAGGGTTGCAAAACGCCAATAGAAACATTGGGACAAGGAGAAACTGTGATAGGGGTAGAAAGAGGTGAAGCAGTAGCAGTAGGAGAAGATAGAGGAGTAAGACCGTAAAAGAAGTCATCTGTTAATGGAACAGAGGTGGGCGTCGAAAAAGTTACTAGTGGATTGGAGTGAGTAGGAGATGGTTCTGAGACCATTGGTTGCAATGTCCCAGTTGTATCTTTAGTTTCTTGTTGGACATGCTCTGTTCTCCGAACTATAGAAATAGTGTGAGACTCCGAATCTTCATCGGCAACGGGAGAAAGAGACTTTCGCTTATGAGCAACTCTTTTTACTTTCGTCTTCAAAGTGTGAGCCAGATCGGAATGTTTGGCTTTCGTTTTTCATTTACCCCCTTCTTGGTTTTGCTAGCCTCCTCTAGGGCCTTTTGAATGTCAGCAGTTACTGGGCGAGGACTGGAGACATGCTTCTACCTATACTCGTTAATTAGCACATTTTTATTGGAACATAGTTGAGCATAGCTTCGGGAATTGAACCAACAAAGCTGAATTTGGTGTGATCAGAAACCATGAAGTTGGAAGTGTGCAAAACCGGGATTGTAGCAAGAACAAAAATTTCATTTACTTGAATGTGAAGACAATCAATATCCCTTTTTACAATAACTGACCAAAATCTTGCACAGGAGATCTTTGAATGCCTCGATGAAGAAAGGGTGCTCTGAACTAGCTGTGCCCAAAGAACAGACCTATAATCTAGGTTAATCCCCTTGTAAAGACCATAGATGAGTGTGCAAAAGAGCTTGTTAGCACTGTCAGACCCGATGACTCTTTCAAAAAAGCTTTTGAAGAATAACATAAAAAGACCATTCCACACCGATGGAATATTTGGCTTTATGAACTTGGACAGAAGAGCCAGATTCTCAAGATATCCCATCTGATAGAACATTTCAAGAATTGATGATGAGGAAATTGTTTCAGGATCAACATGATCAGCAGAAGCAGGAAACTTTAGCAGCTGACAAAATCGAGATTAGGTGATAAAGGTTTTGTGAGAATCAACCTCAAAAGTAATCAACGCTTCACTATGGTTGTAGTTGGCAGTTGAGAATGTCTTTTACAAATGAACAAGTGGTACACTTTTAGCCATGGATAAGGCTTGAGCCAAAGGCGAGTAGTGAAGACATTCTCTCAAGGGTTTTAGAAAATCGGCATATTCAGGGGAATCAAGATCCGGACTCCGATTCTGGTTGAGTTTGATATTGAGCATCACATTGGAACCAGTTTGATCAACAGCAGAGAGAGCCTCAGATGAAGTGGCCATGGATGCAGTTGGAGAAGACGATGAATAGTACAAAGAGAAAGAATATTTGCTTGAGAGATTTTGAAAATGGTGAGTAAAGCAATCGTCATTTTTTCCTTGAACACGGTATGGATGGAGAGAGAAAGCCTACTATAGATGGTTCACTTCCTAGAAAAGTCGCCTGAAAAAGTGTGACTGACAGGCGTGATGTCAGGCGGTGTAACAGACACGCGTGACTGTAGAAACGTTTGAAAACTTCACATGCCCAAATTGAAAGCTTATCCCTTAAATGTCATCGTTTCAGTTTTGCACGTTCGTAATTCAGCATCAATCACAATAACATGTTCTCAGAACTGAAAGTAACCATTCAAAGCATAGATCCAGACTTTTGGAAAATCATGAGGATTTTTGTGCAACATTGTGCCAAAGATAAAAAAATAAAACAAAATATATTTGGGATTCTGTGATGTCAATATAAAATTAACGTAAAAGTAGATGGATCTCGGGCAACGATCTCTACCGTTGGAGTCAAGAGAGACTTGAAAGTGCTTGCATGGCTTCCCGTTGAATTACAATCATCTATTTATTGAGAAACAGTGAAATACTTCTTTTCATTAGGCTTTAATGGATGGCTTTGCTTCAACCAAACTACGAAAATCAACATAAGTCCGAAAGTATGGAAGAAGTACTTGTCTGACCAGTGTAGCCATAATAACAAGTATGCTTTGGAGTCATTTAAGTGATTAGACAAAAAAACAAAAAAAAAACAAAAAACAAAAAATTGGATCTATTGGGAAGAAATGTCTTAGGTCGAGAGGATTCCATAAAGATCTTGCAAAAATGAAAAATAATGAGATTTCAAGGTACAAACCACGAGATTTAATTTCGTCAATTCCATGGTGAAAAATCTAGAATTTATTAATTATTCACCGTCAATACATAAATAGGATTCTTATTTTGGGTTTCACTCAAATTGTGGAGATAAAAATTTGAATATCATAAACACAAAATTTGTGTAACTATAAACCTCAGTAGTAATTATTGAGAGTCTCAGGGCTTACGAAAGTGAAAGCAAAGGTAATGGAGAAAAGATAAGGTGGTTCTGAAGATAAAAATGTACCTCTGCACTATTGTGAATGACTAAGCAATCAACTCTTAACTCGATATGAGAAGAGTAAGGTAGCTCAATGACTTATGTGAATATTAGCTTGATTGGGAAGAAACATTCGGAGTGAAAGTTTCATTAAGGATTCAACATAGAGTCTCAAAGGTTGGTCAACATGCAGCAACATGCTTCAAGGGGCACTTAGCTAGTACATAAAATCAGAATTATATACCTGCCCCATCATTCCGAATTGAGGTGACAGAAAGAGTACCTAAGAGAAAATGAATTTTAAATGACACACAAATAAACAAAAAAAAATATTTTTAGAGTTTTTGATTTTCTAAAAAGATAAAACATAAACAAGAAAGTAAATATTTTTGTATTTTGGATTTTATAAAAAAGAAATAAAAACATAAAAGAAAAAGATTTTGTATTTTGAAATTTTTCTGAAAAAGAAATAAAAATAGAAAATAAAATACCAAAAATACATAATATACAAAGGATACATGATGTTCCGAGTTCCAGACAAACAATAGACTCTGAGGTGTTGCGAATGCTTGGACCCATTCGACATGTGAATAGTGACTTACGAGTATCTCTGAGGGTTCGGACCAGTTTACAACTTAAGTGATGCATTCTGATTATGAAGACGGTTTTGGAAGTGATTCTGCTTCTATCATTCCTAAGCCTTGTAGAATTCGATTGAAGGTTGTTTTAGGTAAGGCTTTCGTAAAGATACATCAGTGCTATATGTTTCGTGTTGGAATGTTGCATTGGGTTGTGACAAATTCGAATAGCACTTTCTGAATCACAATAGAGTAGAATCCTCTTCTACATGATCCTTAGAATTCTCCCCATCAACTGATATATTTAATGTGGAGGTTGACGTGGAACCCTCCCCTAGAGTGTAGAAATAGTAGGTTGTGTTTGGGGTGGAACTTCAGAAGTCCTCGGAATATCAGTGTGAACTTCTGGATTCTTGGAATTTGTGGTTCAAAATATCTGTTGAACCCTCGCCATAGTTTATCAGACAGCCCAATATTTTCTATCTTGTAAAAGTCAACAAAAGTCAAAATAAGTCAAACATATCAAAGTAAAGTCAAACTTATTGATTTGTTAATTTAATAAAATTAAACTAATGTTTTTGATACATATAAACAATTAGTAAAAATGTTGTAGAAATAAGAAGTTGAAACACCCAAGGAAAAACCGAGGATTCTCGTATGTCCGAAAACCATCGCAACCTTCTTCTTCTTTCTTCTCTTGGAACGAAAACCTTCGCAAGAAGGAACAACTAGCTTCAGACTGCAAACCAGTTATTGGCCGCAAACTCCTCGGACCGCAAACATGCGAGATCGACTAAGCAACCTTACCCTCTCGGTTTAAGTTCTCAACCGAGAACCCTTCCTCAGTTTTTGTTCTCGGCCGAGAACCACTAACCACCACACTTTATGCTTCTTATATATGTGTAGGGCCGAAAACATATCCTCACTTCTTCACCCTCCAACCGAAAGCACTTATTTTCTTCCAAGATCATCAAACCGAGAACCTTGTTTTCTCTCATATATCATACGAAAATTTACCGTCTTCTCCTTAGGATCTTGATAATTTCACTTAGTGTTCTTCATCCTTTCGAGAAATCATCATCCATCATCTTAACCTCCAACCGAAAACACTCACATCTTCTTAGTTTTACCAAGAACACCAAGAACATTACTTCAATCATCAAGTGGCCGAAAACTCAAGGCTGACCGAAAACTCCAAACAGCCCCGAAAATTACTTCTAACACTCCTTGTGTAAGTGATTCTTACATCTAAGACTATTCCATAACATATTTGTCACTATTTTCACTAATTATGTACACATATATTGCGTGATTATGCTATTAGGACTCGGTTTTGTTGCGGGATCTTACTTGTGGAATTAACACTACCATTTCGGATCTTCACTAGAATACTCACATAAGGTGAGTTCATACCCCTATATTTTCATGATTTCTAACTGTTTTAGGGGGAATACAAGTGTAACACAATTAAAATTGTGTTAATATCTAAATGTTTTAAATGTTTATAAATTGTTGCCATTATCAAAATTATATATATATATATATATATATATATATATATATATATATATATATATATATATATATATATTTATAAATTATATAATTAGGATTCAACAGATTTAGAATATGTAATTTAACTCCATTTTCTGTTCCTTGTTTGGTTATGGAGTTGTGGTAGAATTATTTATTCGAAAGTATATTTACTCACAATTATATAAATATTGTATTTATATAAGTATAAAACGATTTTAAAAAAATTGTTAAACAAAAACATAATTTTTGGCAAACTATTTTAGTACCGATTGAAAATAAACAGTGGATTTCAAAGAACAACCATTTTACAAATTTTACAAGATTTGACAAAGGTTTTCATTACAGTAAAACATGAACATATAAACTATAATATATATAGTTTATAAAACTTACACATTGCTTTAAAGGTTCAGATTTACAAAACAGAAAACAACAAACATATAAACTATATTAAATATAGTTTATAAATGTGACATCCCCAAAATCACGATCAGAAAAGACCGGTTTTTGTTTATACATTATTTTAAAATCAGAGTAACCATTTAATAATAGAGTTGCGGAATTTGTCCCAAAACAATAATATGATAAAGAGTTATCAAAAGGATTTCCTTAGAAATGTATTTCATTAAAAGAATCGGAATGTCATGTTCGATACAATACATAAGTATAAACAATACAATATACGCCTTACTACATTATTTCATATTACAGGCCTATATCCGTAATCCCTCATCCCAACACATCACAACTATGCTCGAGTGCCACTACCTGTAATTCATAAAACTGAGTGGGTCAGGCTTGGGAGCCTGGTGAGCACATAGGGTTTTCAACCCACAATAAATAAGTTTATTAATTTCATCGACCAACAATAACCCGATTACATGTTCCTGTTATCCTCACACTACGTCCCTAAACACCTACCATAAGGGACATATCCTAAGGATCATCATCAGGATGGACACTACTGCTAAGGGGTTTCCAAAGCAATAAATGTCCTAAAGGCAACCATGAAGGGGATGGAGTACACCGGTGAACACATCGTTCACAACACCTATAGGTTGCGAGCCTGCCAGCGTTCCACTCGACTGTCTAGAAGAGTCTGTGGTCGTCATCTATACTTCGCTAGATGATTGGATCAATAACAACAACATCGAGGCCTCTCATCATTTTATCACACATCACCTATTACATCTACCCATGTTTTACCCCAACATTTTTGTAGATATAAAATACATATACAATTTAAATCATATAAAACTTGTATAAAATCGTTCATCCAGCATAGATAGCAAGTATAAAAGTAATATACACACATAGCACGTAGTTTATATAAAATACTTCATATCTATGTGTAAGATGAAAGGGACCATGCACTCACTTGAAAAGGTGGTGATTCCGAACTCAGACATCGCTTCGCTTCTTAAAAATAATTTCCTTTGACGAAACCTAGTATTATTACCACTAGAGTTTAGTCTATTTTCGCCGAGACTAATTAATAGTCTAGCTATTATTACTATTATATAAGCGTTAAAAAAATACTTATATAACCCATTATAATAGCGTAAGTATTTATTATAAGTTCATAATAACGTTACTATAATTAAATAAAACCTATATTAAAAATAGTGTAGGCGTAGCTTACTTACAGCGGGTTTATAGAAAACCAGACTTTGCTTGGAGCAGCGTTCCCGAGCCAAAAAGCTCTTCTTCTCGGAGCCATCGAGCACTCTAGGGCTTCGACCTCGTGCTAGGGAGGTTCTCTAGGGTTTTTGGGGGATTTCGGGGCTAGAGAGAGGTTCTAGAGAGAGAGAGTA